GTGGTAAAAGTATTGCAGAGCTTCTTAGATATTTTGAAGTACTGCAAGAGGAAAGGTCTCGCCCGGCTGGACTATATCACACGTTTTATGGAATTTTTAACACAAAATTTAACCTTGGCTTTTATCAACCCAAAAACGATCAATGCGATCTTTGCCTGCAGTTCCAAAATTCTACTGAACCACTAAAACAGAATCTTAGGGATCAATATCATACGCATTTGGAAAAAAATAAGTTATGTAGGGAGGAAAAAAAGAATGACAGAAAGAACATTGATGAGTGCAATATTTGTGTATGTTACGATGTACAAGCCATTATGCAAAGTCCTAACGGTGAAACATCAGCATTCTATTACAAATCTAAATTAAATAGTTACAATTTCACTATGACGGAATTAAAAAAAACTCACGAAAACGATGCGTCAACAATGGACATCTCTAAATACTATGAAAATGTCCATTGTTATTTTTGTTTTTTACGATAACTGTTGTGGGTAAAACAAAAATAAATATCTCACATGCTTATACTTATACGCTGTTGCCAATATAAAAATTTGTCGTCGATAACTCACAAATATCTCATAAAAGGGCACAGTCAGAACGAAGCTGATAACGTGCATAGTTTGATACAAAAGCAGATAGCTAGAGATAGAAAAACTGTCCCAATATACTCTCCTGTTCAATACATTTCAGCAATCAAAAGAGCAAGGAAAACTGGTGCCTCAGTTATAGTTCACAGTTTAACTTACAATGTTTTTTACGATCTTCAGAAATTACAAGAAAATTGGGGCTATAATTTTAATACAGATGAACAGAAAAATAATCTTGTATGGAATAGTATTAAAGTACTGAAATTTACCAAAGGAGACCCATTTTCGTTTTATTACAAGTGCTCATATAAGGATGAGTTTAAAAAAGTTAATGTTCGTGATAAGAGGAAGAGAATGTTAAATATTAAAAATAAGTGGAGTGTATCACAAAATAAACTAAAAGAAATCAAACAATTAGTGAAACCGTGGCTCCAACCCACAGCGAATAGACACGATCAAGTGAAAATAACACGTTTGCGACTAGGACATAGTAACTTTACACATATACTAACTCAGTGTAAAAAATATGAAACAGCAAGAAAGAAGCACACTATACCAAACAACATGAAGGAAGCCCTAGGAAAAAATATGAACATTAAAAACACAATAAGTTACCTTAAAGACTCAGGACTATATCATTTATTGTAATTTTTTTCTAACTGTACCTGTAGTTTACATTTAGGTCGCTAATAACCCTGGTGGTTACAGCGTAAATAAATAAAAAAAAAGAAATAACCATGCAGAAAGCTTACCTCCAGGCACTTCCACTTAGTTGTGCTAAAAAGAATGATCTTAAGGATCTGATTAATATACAATTGATAGATCCATACTATGCGTCTTATTATAACAACATTTTGTCCTAATATTACTAATCTTTGGGATTTCAACATTATTTTGTGTAGACTGAGTACATAGACAAAGTACAATAATTAGGTTTTGAGACTGAATTTTATTTTTGAAGACTTTATTTTTTAGAATGAATTTTTTCGTTATGTGCAGTTTTCTGCAAGTTATGCAAGTTTAGAATGGAGGAATGAATGTTTTTTATTATGTATAATTTTTTAAGTTTACTGTGGACATATTGTGATATACAATTAAGTAATAAGTAAACGACAATGTAAAAATTGAGGAGTTCCTACTTGTAAGTTTTATTTGGAATTAAAACGTTTAACTCATAAATGTGACAATATTAAAGCTATCTTATTATGTTTAACTCTTGTTTTGAATTTTTTTTAGATTATTGTTATATTTTGCACTGATTAATAAAGTATTACTATTATTTTACCTAATATTTTATTTATAAAACAGAAACAATAAATTCAAACATCGGTTGGGATTGGTGATATAGAGTACCATTTACGATTAAAAATTAAACAGTGGCAGGGACACTAATAATATAAGGGATCAAACTTAAATAGTTCCTTATTTCTGTTATGGTTTTTTATACTATACGGGACTAACTCGAAAGTAGTTTTTTCCATTCCTTGTAATTAATAGAATTTATTTATATTATTTTTTTTTTCATTTCAATTTTTAGTGCAGTTATCAAATAACAAATCTGCCAGATTTCATATTTATAACTTAAATAATAAGCATGTTATTTGAAAAAATAGCTGTAATGTCGGATACCAGAATCTTTAAACGCGATTTCCCACAAATCTACTTTTTTGAATTGTGCCTCAATATTACTGAGGGTGCGATATACTTTGGTCTTAAGATGCTGTGGATATCTTTTGTTTTTAAGAATGTAGCTTAGTTTGCCAAATGCCACCCATGCCAGTCTAACTCGTCTCTTGATCTTTGCTGTTTGGTTCTCTTTGTTAAGTTTTATAGTTTGACCAAGATATATATAATCCTTAACTTGTTCTATTTCATCTTGTCCGATTCTCATTGTGATGTCTTCATCTGTATTTGTTATAGTTTTGGTCTTGCTGTAATCCATATTAGGGCCTATCTTTCCAGCTTCTACGTCCAGTTCTTTCATCATTTCAAATAATTCTTCTTTTTTATCGGTTATCAATACGATGTCATCAGCGTACTTTAGATGGTTCAAGCGTTGTCCACAAATTTTTATACCTTTTTTTTCCCATTCTAATATTTTAAAAGTATCTTCAAGAGCCTGATTGAAAAGTTTCGGTGATATTGTATCACCCTGTCTCACGCCTCTACTTATTTGTAATGATTTTGTTCCTTCATATACTTTAATTGTTGTTTTGGCTTCCTTATATATATTGGTTATTAGTTCCGTATATCTGTGGTCAATTCGGCTGTTAATCAAAGAAGCAGCCTATACTATTATTTTATTAGATGTAAATATTATATTGTTACAATAATTAAATTAATTAAAGTTAAATAAAGTAAAATTGTTAGAGATACGAAAAGTTTCAAAATTGTTAAAGAGGCTCCATATCATCTTGTGGGTAATCGTTTGTGGCTACATCGCTATGTATTAAATTTTGGTAAAACGCATGACAAACTGACGGAACAAAAGGCAGTAGTGCAATAAAGTAATTATACTTTTATTTTGTGATTGGTATTGGGTTTACTCAGACTTGGTTTAATTTGGCTGGAAACGTTAGTTGCTGGGTTCAATACCTCATGAAGTCCCTTCATACATATTTTGATTATTGAAATCGGTCTTATAAAAGAGCTTTCCAATATGTTCTCTTTGGACTTGTAAGAAAACACATGTTGACAGTAGAACAGGGTCTTCATTAGCATTCTTGTTTCTACTTAAAAAAGAAGTATTAGGTTACAATTTCTGATCAAACAGCGTTTTGAAGTTTTTAAAATCTTGAAGTTTCATATTGTCCACTGTATATTTACCTGCTGTTTGTTTAACTAGATGTTGCCTGTCCCATGGTATTAAAGTAGACAAATTGGTGAGTTTCTTTCTTTTTCACTCAATTAAAGCATGAACACTGTCTGCTTCCCTATGTGTGTTCCCTTTCAGTAAAAACTTTTGAGTGATCGTCTTTAGTTGAGGGTATGTACGCAGTATCCAAAAATAGCACGTATATCTTTATTTTGAAGAGAGAATGTCATCTCTCTTCTGTTACTGACAAAGAATGTAGAGCGTAGAACAATTTTAATTAATTTTAAACTATTTGTCCTTGTTTTAGTGTAGTGTTTTGTACAATTTTATGTTAAAATTCATGTTTATCACATTCTACGCTTGCTGGAGAGCCCAAATTTGACAAAATGCCCCTGAAGATGGTGTAGTAAGCAAAAGTACTTGAACAAGATTTAATTGTTAAAATTGTGCTCGATATTTGCCTTTCATTTTTTAAAGTTCATTTATTCGAGCAGTCAACCTTATATCAATTTATTTATTAAATAATCAAAGCATCGATATAGCTTGCTTTTTAGAAACTAGATTTACATCAAATAAAAATATTTTATTCTTCCATGTTACAACTTTGTGAGGGATGATTATTTAGACCACAGTGGCGGTGGAACGGTCATCCTTAATAAATCGAAACTTTTGTATACAAAAATTCTATCAATTTTGATTGGTTTCCAAAATCAAACAAAAAAATTCTAAAACTTTTGAATTTTACAAAACATATCCTCCGCTCATGCGGTCGTATCTTTTCGAGAATTACCTGAAGCCAGCTCATTTACCTGCGTTTTCTGCTTTTTTTTTTTAATCACCCAATCTTTACCCGCAAATTGCTCATAGTATGAGGTCATAAAATAATTGTAAGGATTATTATTACTACTATGATTGTAAGGACCCTATTATTAAGAGAATATTGTTTAACCATCGTTTAACTATTCTCTATAGAAAATCTAAATATGATTTAAATCAGATCCCATTTTGTTCGCCGAATAAATGATATTGATCACCAGCTGAGCTTATGGTCGATTAATAATACAAATTTCTTTAACCCCATAAGAGATTTGACTTATTAAATGTACGAACGTACTTAACACCTGTCGGATTTGCTAAGGGAAAAGTATGTCAGTCAAATAAGTCAAATTTAGTCGGCCATTGCGAATGTTTAATTTTTGTGTAAAATTATTTCTGTTTGCAAGAAGTGCAAAATGCCAGAGGAATCTAGCTTGTTTTACAATAAAAGATTATTATTCACAACATGTAGTGAAATGATGAGTTTTAAGATTGCCTTTTTCTTCTTTTTTCTGTAATAAATAATATGTGGCTGCTTCCTCAACATTAAAAGTTTAAATAGTTTGAAAAAGTACGTGCTATTGTCGTAGATACTATCTCAACAAACATTTTGACAGAGTAGAACTACATAAGTAAGTAAAAATTAAAAGTGTTCCCGATAAAAGTACATCGAGAAAAAATTACATACTTAAAATCTACAATGATACCATAATAAAATCAAGAAAACAGTGTAAAATCCATCATCGCAATTTGAGATAAATTATTTTTCCATCTTTTCTTACCTGCATTCGCTGTTTTCTCTGCAGATTTCCGCCAGATGCAAACATGACGGTTGTGGCGATTCTTCTGTTCTTTGAGCACACACTGGATGTAGTTTTTCTTGTGCGATGAGGCACGCGTCTTGTTTGTTATCTGTTTTTCTGAAACAAAGTAAACAAAGATATGTAATACGTGAAATATGGAAGTATAATATCTGTTGTAGAGTCAGAGCTAAAGAACAAATTGTAACATGCAACATGTATTTTATATTATATTCACAGGTTAAGTTTTATAAACAACTGACCATAACTGAGGTAACCCCATAGAAAAAGGTCAGATGGGGATAAATCTGGTGACCTTGATGGCCACTCAATAGGACCTCTTCTTTTAATCCATTTATTCGCCTAGAATTAGGTTCCCTTGATTGTCCCTTTCTGAACTGTGTCAGAAGTCTGACCAGTCACTCGACACTGAGGAGTAGGTAGATTGAGACCTCAGTGCCAAGAGACAGTTCTTGTATTTATAATACAGAAAACGATACTGGTACGTCTCAAGTGAGGGGAGTAGGCAGATTGAGACCCCAAACTCGAACCGAACCGTATCCCTCTTGATAATGGCTCCAAAAGGGAAGCCGACACGTCGAGCAGTAAATTCTCAACGCGGTTCTTCTTGAGAACTTAGTGATTTTTATTTCATATATATAAATATATATATATATATATATATATATATATATATATATATATATATATATATATATATATATATATATATATATATATATATACATATTGGAATGATATAATAATTAAATATACAAGAAATAAGCATAGTATTATTATGATGTTTAATTAATAAACTTACTTAAATAGTGGTTAAAGAAATAATTTATAAGTCATATACTAGCGAATATTATTAAAAAATAATTATATGAGGATATTTTTAAGAATTTAGCATAATAATAAATGTTAACAGTTTTTTTTTTAATTATAAACATATTTAATTGAGCCATATGCATAGGCATCCAAATATACACGGTGTTATTTGACATTTGTTTGGTTGCAGATGTAAAATGGGGTTAAATATTAGTTTGGGATTTTAATTTAAATATCATTACGCATGTAAAATAGTAGTATATTAGTGGAAGACATTTAGTTTATATATAATAGTGAATTCTGATCTGCAAAGCCTAAATATTCATACATTTCTCACTAGAATTTTCTGGAAAACGTCAATACACAAGCCAGTTAGCCCTATTTGCATAGTCGATGATTCCAGAACTTTCATGTATAGATGAGATGAAGAGTTTCGAACATGATTTATTGCTGGAACAGTCTGGAATGATGGAATGGTATAAATACCAGGTAATTTGGAGCAGGCAGGCATTAAGTTACAGGAGTTAGTTAGAAGAATTCAAACATTAAGTTACAGGAAGTCATTAAGTTACAGGCAAATATTAAGTTATAGTTACTAAGTCAGTTACAACCAATTATTAAGTTAGTTAATTCTTTGAGAACTGCGATAAAAACCCTATATCATATATTTTATTTTAAACACTCATTGCTCATATACAAACAAAACATTATAACAATTTTGGCGCCCAACGTGGGACTCTCTATTTAAAAGAATTAGTTTGGGAAGATAAGTGCTCTCATATAATTAAATAAATTTTCATAAAAATGAAAAAAAAATTATAGATTTTATTTTTAATTAAATTTGAACAAGTAAAGTCTCACTATGTCTCAAGGAAAAAAGGTACAAGAAACAAAAAGAATGAAGACGGTGTGGAAATAGAAACACAAGCTGTACAAGAGGAGAGTTTAGTTTAAGTTCCACAAGATACAGTGGAAATGAATCAAGAAAGAGGAGAAAAGTTCAATATGGCAGCTTTGATGTCATTAATGATGCAGATGAACAAGACAATGAAAGAGAATACGAAAAAAATGGAAGAGAATTCAAAAGAAGTCAAAGAAGACATGAAAAAAATGGAACAGAAATTAGAAGAGAATTCGAAAAAAATGGAAGAGAATTCAAAAGAAGTCAAAAAAGACATAGAAGGTGAAGTAATTATGTAGAATCTGTTTTTATATTATTGAAAGTAATTTTATTTTCTGCTATTCGTTTATTAAAATTTTTACCAGTTTGACCAATGTAAGTTTTTGGGCAGTCGCCACATTTAGGTTTGTAAACACCACTGTGTAAGTGTTTTTTATTTTGGCTCTTGTTGTTTTTAATATATTTGCCTAAGTTGTTATTTATTCTGAAAGCTGGTGCTATTCCTTTCTTTTTTATGTATTAGGCTATTTTTGTTGATATTTTGACTGTTTATATAATCGAGCAGAAGGTACTCGGTTTTTTCTCTCGTGGTGGAAATACTAATTTCAGGACTTTCTTGTGTAGTTTTTTATTTAAAATTTTATTAATTGTTTGTTTATTGTGTCCATTATTTACAGCTGTTTGCTTAATGATATTTAATTATGTGTCAAAGTTTTATTTTGACATCGAAATTTCTGTTATTCTGTGTAACATAATATGCTATTTTGCCAGTTTAAATTATGTGAGATGGGATGATGAATTGTGTATAGTCGTGTCAGTATGGGTAGGTTTATGAAATATGAAGAAGTTATATTTGTGTTTAAGTCTGATAATTTTTAAATCTAAAAAATGTATGGATTGTTTTTGTTCTATTTCCATTGTAAATTCAATATAACTATATAGTGAATTAATATACGATAAAAATTAGTCGAGTTGCCTGCTGGTTCCTATAAAACATACCAGTACATCGCCTACCAGTATAATCAGTCAGTACAGGATTTTGATCATATTTTTTTCAAGATTACTTTTGAAATGTAGACTGGCGACACAAAACATCTGGCTTTTAAATATGTGTTTACAAAAAAAAGTGTTCCCGAAATAAACACACCAATACAAGAAGCTATATATCATAGTTGTTTATCTTATAGGTATGTCATTCAGAAATAAATTATACATTAATTAATATAAAATTTGACATCCTAGATTCTAACGTGAGAATAAGTATAGATAATAATATAAAAAATTCAATACACAGTATAAAAAACTAAATAATCTAATTTGCAACAGTAAAAAACCCAATATTCATTATACAAGAAGTTTTTCGAACCATAATTTTTTCAATAGATTTATAAATTTAACAGATACTAAATTTAGTAATAGCGAGATACAGTATTTAAAGAAAAGATTTAACAGAACTTGCCACAACATAATAATCAGAAAACTTTAGAATATTTGGGTGTAGAATGTGAAGTAGAATTAAACGAAACTGATAACAGTAACGAAAAAAGTATAAGTGCAAAATCTATTACAGATGTGTGTAGTGAAACCAAAAATTTCTGTTACAAAGAGAATAAAACGGCCATTTCAATCAAAAATATATCAATAGAACAGAACATAGTGTTTACAAAAGCAGACAAAGGTACCACTACTAGTGCTATAAATGAAATAGAATATAATAACAAAACAGTAGGATTTTTAAATAATCAAAATATTGAAACGTTACACAAAAATCGTTATAGAAAAGTATCAAAATAAATTAAATTAGCGTTAGAAAATTCAAAATCATAGTAAATCCAACAGAACAGAGATACCTTAATATCATGACCTACAGCTTCCATGAGTCAAAAACAACAACAGTCAAAATAAAAAATACTTACACAATGGGGTTACAAACTTAATTGTGGCGACTGCCCAAAAACTTGCATCGGTCAAACTGGTAGAAATTTTATTAAACGAATAGCAGAACATAACAGCATAACAACATAACATAGCAGAACAACGGAGCTTATTAGCTCCGGGTGAGTAAGACACCCAGTTTGCACACGCTTTTGTCTTTCAACAAAGCGGATGCGGGGCTATTATTAAGTTAAACCGCCGAGGGGTTGCCTTTATAGGCTCCTCGCGGAGGGTTTTAGTAGCTTCGCGTCAGCGAAATATACGGGTTAAGCTCAGTGAGTCGACAGGAATGACACTGTAAGGCCTAGTTTTGAAATCAAGGTCGAACAGAAACGGCCCCTGCTCCTGAGGTGAGTGAAACTTGAAGATGACCCCCCTGAGAAATCAGGGAGAGAACTACCGAGAGGTTGCTGGGACGACACCCAGAAAAACCGTCAGGCAGCGGCCAGACGGGACGACAAAAACAGAGTCTTCCGAGTAATAACACGTCTTTTGAACCTATGTTCACTGCCTTACGGCATTATGAGTGATAATCTCTCCCCCCAAAAAAAGTGATGTCACGCAAATGACATCACAAGAAAAAGAAGATGGTGACAAGCCCAAGTCATCCACCCGGTCCGTTGCATCTGCAATAAAATTATATAACGATTTTCAATTAAACATAAATTCCTCGGCAACTAACGACGAAACATCCGACGACGAATCGTATATCCCCAAAGAAGAGTCTGAAGAAGACAAACAGAGTGAGGTGGAAACAGACGACAGCGTCTCTACCACCATGGAAATCATCATCGGCGAGGAGCTGAGCCCAGCCACCGAGTCGAATGAAGCCCGCCCCCACCCAACGAGGAGATAGCCCCCATGGTGGACATCATCTCCACCGTGAATGAAGCCGAGCCGAAGGTAGGCAGAAAGAAAAAGAGACAGCGGCCAACTGCAAACTCCTCAGAAGATTAGGATAAAGTAAAAAGAACCAAAGAGATGAAGTCCCAAGATAAAGCCAATAAGCTTTATAATTCAGTAGATCTACTGACTAAACAAATAAGATCTCTCAAAGAAGAGAGCCGTCAAAGGGAAAAGAAGGCAAACAGATGGTAGAGAAAAATCTATTGAGTCAGTAAAGTAAATAGAGAGAAAAGCCTAGATGTGGCTACCCCTACAGTCAGGTGGCATACCCACAGTCATTAAAAACAGGAGATGTCTCATTACCCAGGGCACCTCAAGTAACTTTCAGAACTTCAAATCAAGTTGGTTTGATCTTCGGACATGTGGATCCCACTCTTAGATTGGTATACACATGTTCCTAGGAGTAGGGTTGATCGCTTAGCGTGATTGTGTGTGACTTCACCTTCTGGATTATAATTATTCTTTTAATGATGAATTTAAAATTCTTTTCATCTAAAATAAAGGCCTTAAGCTATCTTTGTTAGAATCTATGGAAATCAACCAA